CGAAGTTTTCTCGCGAGTCACAAACTTTCCTCGTGGGTCAAGATTTTTGAGGAAAGATCAGTTGGTTGGAATTGCTCAAATTCGTCATTTCACATCCGAAAAATGCGATGGAATTGAAAGAAGAAAAGCAGTTAATCAGTGAACTCTCACTGTTGAACAATTGAAGAACGAGGAACAGACCTTTGAAAGGAACGAACGTCAAACTTTATGGAAGGCATGAGGCAATTGTGCGGTTTGATGATGTAACGGTGGGTACATAGCCGGGAATGGCTCACCACCGCCGACACTTGCATACAAAGCGGCCGCTTCGAGTGCTGCCTGTTGCGCCGCAACAGCCTGGGCTGCCGCAACGTTGAAACCTCGAGCAAGGGCACCGTTGGCTGCGGCATTCGCCGCACCCGCACCTCCGGCACCCGGGCCAGATGCTGCACTCAACGGAGCATACGACTGGAATCCGTTGAAGACTGAAATCACGAAAAATGTGATCAACCCAGATCAACTTGATCACTGCTCATTCTTTTCGTGCATTTTCAAGTGCTTCAGAATGGAGAGTAATGTCTAGTTTTCCGTCTCACATCACAATAACGACACCTACTTCGAGTCATTATTTGTAACTTTGAGCCGATTTTCATAAAATTCAAATCTGTTCCCCTATTCCAAGTTCACCCTACATCAATGATTTTATTTCACAAATTATATGCAGAAATTTATTCTCACTCACGAATGATTCTCCTCAGAAAAACACAGTGAAAAATGGTCATCATGATCTTCTGATGATTCCAATGGGTGCGATTGACTACTCATTTAAGAAAACTAAAAACTTTTTAATTAATACTGATTTCAATTGTAATATCATTATTGTATGCGTCTTAATTAGCTGTGGAAAAAAAGTTCAAGCACTACGAAAACATCAACGCACAAACACAATATGTACACATCAGTACCAAATATATTAAAGCATGTAATAACAGTCAAATGGTAATATACTAAAAATAATATTCCATCAAAACAAATTGCTTGCGATTATAAAATCATTCACGAAGTTGCACTAAATGTCGCATGCGATTACGTTTTCCTGCAGTAAGAAGGAATGAAAAGAGCAGAAGAACTGATGTTCCGCATGAACAGACGTCAACTTTCGCACATATCACCTATACAGACCTATACAGATTAACATTTCCGAATGCTAATCAGATCGAAAAATCCGCTTATAAGACAACCGTACATTGTTCTCAATCGAGAACGAGCGATCGCACATCGCTATCGATGCAGCAGTGCAATCATCAACAGCTAATCGAGGAGGATTGCAAAACGTCTTATTCCAG